TTACGATGTCATCGCCCGCGCCGAAGAATAATTACTCATTAATTATTTTTAATTACAATCATTTTGATAACATGGAATTCGCTACTTTGGGACAGGCGTTTGAAACATGAATTAAGTACGAATTTTATTTGATAACGTCACGGTTTTTGCTGTTATCATCAAGACCTGTAACCATGCGGGATATTAAAGCATATTATTCACCATGTATAACAATTTAAATAACGAAGGCCAAGGCCAAGTGGCAACAGGACAGTGGTCTGCTATTTTATTAGCATTTGGCTAGAATCTAATAGATAATCCATTAGCCTCATAGCGATTTCACGAGTATGGAAAACAACTACAGTATTATAATCTTTCACCGTTTGTACACTACCTCGAAAAGACTAACGATAAAATACTTCAATACCAGGAGAGCAGCGACTAACTGTCACCGTGAAGCATGTAAACTATATAGCTGAACGCTAGACTTAAACAAATAGTCACGAGTTGCTAGCTACTCAAGCTTAGCGTTCCTAGAACACGGAAATAATTCTATGTCTATAGGCGTATAAAAACACGTTCTTGTGCGTTGATATCAGCTCATGCGTGTTCAAGCCTTTATAAATCTTAACGTATACAGCGGATAGCACATTCGCGAAATCTAGCGTTCACATAGAAGCAGACGACAGGACGAAATTAGCGAAGAAGTTTTTATACCAGCGGGGGGGGGGGGGGGGGGAGACGCCGCAAATGAGCGTGTCATTTAATATAAATGTATTCAATTAACCGACTATGTAATAGTTGTGATGAAGTTGAGCCCACGAGAACTACTATAGATTGGTCCGCAAGCTCTCGCAAATGCAGTTTTTTTATAAGCTATCTTTAAGATTAGTACGCGATAGACTTGTGGTGCTGAATTTGTTTGCCGCGCGCCCTCGTCGGGCCGTTGTTAGCACGAAACATTTCGACTTGCCTCGCCACTACCAGGATCTATTTACACATTAAACAGTTATTTATATCTAGTCGAGGTTATACTATCGTAATTAAAGACAAGATGTAGGTACATATTCTGTTTACGTCATCAACATTTTGTCTCAAGCCAATGCTTTTTTAGTTAATGACCACTGAACGCGCACACGGCAGACTAGTCGTGCCATTCTGCGCGTCGCGTAACGGTACTCAAACAAGGCGGGTGAAGTTTTCTAATTATTTCACTTGGCCAACTGATTGAAAATTAGTTAGAATACATTATGAGTAAATAATTAGTTATATTCTTTTGGTAATATTAGCATACTATAGTGATCAGTATGTTGTGCAGTATAGCGCTAGCGCTATATTAGCTTTATTAATTAGCTTGTTACTGATTAATTATCAGATACTGACCTATTATAACGAACGTACTTCGAGAGGTTTGTAAGCAACGCGTAACTTCTGAACACTATCTGCGCAACTTTGATTACTTCGTCTAGTACCTGAGCCCAAATGAGTATACACTTACGCACACACACGTATATATATATATATATTATATATATATATATATATATATATTAGAAGGGGAGAGAGATGGTTGAGTTTGAGAGGGGGGTGACAGATAATAGAGAGAGAGAGAGAGAGAGAAGAGAACGAGAAAAAAGAAGGAGACAGAGATAGATAGCTAGATCGATATATAATATATATATATATATATAGATAGATAGGATAGATAGATAGATAGATAGATAGATATAATAGATAGATTAGATAGATAGATAGATGGAGAAAGCTAGAGAGAGAGTGTGAGAGAGAGAGAGAAGAGAAAGGCGAAGAGAGAGAGAGAGGAAAGAGAGAGAGAGAGAGGGAGAGAGAGATGAGTAGAGAGATGAGAAGAGAGAGACGAGAGAGAGAGAGGAGAGAGAAATGATGGTAAGCTCCCGTTGTGTCATAAGCAATAATAAGTAGAAATAAATATGTACATCATGCACATAACTATATATGTATATATATATATTGTGATATATGCACATAACGAAGCTCGTTCCGTATCCCGCTGCTCGTATCCAAGCTTTCACCGAGACTAGATAGTGCGAGAACCTTATTATCTATAGAAATATCCGTAAGTACAGCCTCTTTCATCGTCGATAGACTACGCCCAGTCGTATACGGTCCATGTAACTTAATTCATTTGCCCATCGGCAGACGTACGTTTGACGGGCAATCGCGGGGCGAGCCTTTTAATTTTCGCAGCGTGTCTTTTCCGTGTGATCTCGCGTGGCGATCGAGTAGCCGTGCACATGAAAGTGAGGAGAGCGCGTCCGCCAAAAGCTCAATAATATCGCCGCCAGCCTGCGACTTGTAACGGTGGAATTAGCCGCATGACTGCATGTTAGTAAGTAATTTTTTTCGTCTTTCGCTGGCAATATTACTCCTAAGGTTCATGGCAGTACTCAAAGCAATTGACATAGATATGATATTTGGTAAAAATGAATGATCCCATTACTAATTGTCATATATACTAGCTTATTTTAGGTTCATTAGGGAAGTATACCACGGTAATATTATCGTCTGTTTACACAGAAATACCCGGATGTCTAATATTTATCGTGAGCCCAAAAGAAACTATTCACTGTCAGATTCAAACTCTTTGACTACAGATAGTATTTCAGTGATTTGTTACATTTTTGATGCTCCACCATACAGGTATGCAACATTGCAGCCGCCAGCCTAACGGTAAAGACAGTTAGACCCATGCATTGGCTGATATTGATGCGCCGTGACACCTGCTCGCGGATATCAGGTTGACAGTGTCATCAATAAAGGTATATCTATATCTATATAACAGCTAGGAATCAGTCGTGTAGGCCACGATAGGCTGCTATAGTACGATCAGTTCCCAGCTGCCATGGTGTAAGGTCCGTAATTCCCGCCATAGATAGTTGTGCCGGTTGTAGCCATGCGGTGTGTTGCGTTGTTAGAAGTCTCCACATTTGCACATTTTAGACTTCACATAGACCAGAAAACCGCCCTGGTTTCAGTTTGAAAAAAAAAAAATCAAGAGTTCATAATAGAAGACTAGAAGACTAATAGAAGACATTTCTAGAAAAGAATAATTAAATAAATATATATATATATGAGGTGTTTGGATATGAGGTGACATGAGTGAAAAGAGTGCATGCATGTGTTTGTGTTGGATACGCATTTACAACATCTTTGCCTGGACTCTGATACAAGACAGAAGCAAGAATGTTGTCCTTACCTATACTCCTCCAAGAAGCCCAGCTTATCAAAGACATAATTCATGAATAGATCCGGGGTAATGCAGCGTGGAAGGAGGGTTCTTTTTTTCTATTTCTTCTCCTCCTTCTTCTTCTTCTTCTTCTTCTTTCATCGTTATACGGATTTATTTAAGAGAGTCATGTGATATGTGCAGACCAAATTTATTCACTAGTCGCTATTTTTTTCACCAATTATAAATTTATTACTACATACTAATCATGTGCATGTGTATCGTAGGTTCCATTCAGTATAACTCTTATAACGGCGTATTGAAGATACGATCGTATAAATCTAGTGACAAAAATCATCACTCGGTTATTTACTATAAAGCTGGCTAACCCGATTACATTGGATAACCGAATAATGCCCGCAGCAACATAATTGTTGGATAATAGACTTAATAGGTGCGTTCACACTGGCGCGAATTAGCAGGCTGCAAAACCCAGTTTTTGCAGCCCGCTCGAAAAACTGAGCTTTTTACAAGTGTGAACGCAATTAGCTCACTAAATCGCGCTCAAAATAAAGAACACTTCCGACTGCTGCACTAATTTGGAATCAGCGCGCTTATTTGCACCGTGGCGTGATATTTGCACCGCGGCGATTAGCGAGATATTCGCCTGTGTGAACAACGACACAATTAGCTCACTATTATCTCCGCTATTAGCGGGCTGAGCAGCGCGGTTTTTCTTGTGTGTGAACGCGCCTAATAGTGTCACAAGTACGCGCCCATGTGTCGCAAGTTATCTCAGTAGTTCCTTTTGCATTTTTCTCATGCTGGGGGTTTTCTTATAGTCCATTTTTCGTTTTGTTCTATAATTTTGTTATATTTAATTCGAGTGGTGGAGGCGCTGCCCGAGTTCATTTCAATGAATTTTTGGTTAAGTATAATTTTACCTTGTGGTGAAAATAAAGACGACAATCAACAAAAGTCACTATTGCTTGTATAAACGTGTTGCCGGTTCTCTGGGCGCAATGGTAGTATAGGCGCCGTGGCGTCACAAGGGGTGTGCGGGGTGATGAACGCACCGGATGACACCATCAGAGGGAGTAACGCCAAAATTACTGTTTAAGTTTAATGTTAAAATAAACATAGTTTTGATGTAGTTCTTAAACGTTTTTACTTCGAATTCTATTGTTTTCTTACCGAATTTTCATTTTAACCACATTAAACTATGTAAATATAAATACAGTACGGCGGTGCGTATGGTATTGTTATTTTAATTTTGCCAATTGTTTATGTCACTACTATTGCCATTACATTCAGTAATATACGGGAATTACGATTTACGAGTAACATTAGTACAAAAAAAACATTACTAAGGATTCTGTATGGTCTGGTACGGGCGGAGGTCCATGGGGATGAGACCATGAGTTACCGCACAGTGTGACAGCAATTTTAGTGACACCGCTGTATAGGCGTCGTCCGTTAAATTGACTACGTCACGAATTTTCTATGGTAAAATTTGTAAAAAAATATTTGCAATTTTTTTACATTAAAAGTAAGAACTAACGGGATCGTATCGTATGCTATGAACGCGCTGTGTGCGTGCATACGCGCGCGTGCACGCGGGCGGGCGGGCAGGCGCGCATGCGTGTGTTCGTGGCTACGTGCACGTTTGTGTATGCGCGTGCATGTGTGTGTGTAGGTAACGTATCGTAAAATTCTTACCTCATAAGATTGTTTCTCAACTAGTTAAAAATCAAAAAAACCTGGACGATTTGATATTATGTTCCTGACATTAATTGCTTGTTATGGCCTATGTATGAGTCACGAGTGTATGTTCACATCGAACAATATAGTAAAATAGGAAGTATAATGCAGCAATTTAACCATAAAAAGTGAACAGAATTACTTATATTTTGTGAAAAAGCGACAGGAAGTATAATGCAGCAATTTAACCATAAAAAGTGAACAGAATTACTTATATTTTTGTGTAAAAGTGGAAATATTTTTTTTATTATTACTATTTCCGGTGACGTAATCACTTTAACTATTTACGGGATTATGTTTAGATGGTCACGCACTTCGTAACCTCATCCATAATAGCGCTCTCCGTTTTCTTCTACAAATCGGGTTTAGTACAGTAAGGTCCAAACAGTGACACGCACACACACACACACATGCACACGCACACACACAAACGTGCACGTAGCCACGCACACACGCATGCGCGCCTGTCCGCCCGCGTGCACGCGCGCGTATGCACGCACACAGCGCGTTCATAGCATATGTAGACGATCGCAATATTTATGCTCGAGCTATATAAGACGTCGATATCAGTCGTTTGACAACACCTCATATCGACGTACGCACGGATATCTGCTGCATGGAGGGCCTTTGATTGTGACCGATATATTTAAGAATAATATTGTGTCGCCGTGGATTACCAGGCGATAGGGCAAAAAATACGGAGGCAAAACGCGCATAGCCGTACGCGCGACCACGTGATGCAGAGGGCGTGGCGATCGCAACACTTTCTCCGAAATTCTAACGGTACCTGTACATAGTTAGATATAGTACGAGAACGAGGCTATCGCCATCTTGAAACGTCGTTTAAAATAAATTGACGCACGCAACCAGAACGGAAATACTGTGAATTAAGAACCAAGGAAGGAAGTGAAGGAACCAGAAAGGAAATATATACTGTAAATAAAACCACACACCTTCACCAAGAGATGAAATACTGTAAGGTGAATCACACCCCATCCGTCATTAAATTAACGCGCTATTTTCTGGTTTATATCTAGTTATTCTGAAAGGTGACTCATTTCGCGGCACGCATGGAGAGGGACGTATATAGAGAAAATATTTGTCCCGGATGTTAGCACGGGCTAATCGCCTGATTAACATGAACCATAATTTCTGATTGGATCTAGCTCACCGAATTAATTGCCTCCAAATTAGGTACCATGGCCGCAAATCAGCCAGTCGGCGTTGGGACAGGTATCGTACCTGGTGTATGTACATCGTATATGGCTCAGTGTTGGTTATGTTGGCGTGGCTTGCAATGTCTCAATCCTTTGCTCTGTCAATTGTCGCTTACATTTAGTAGCAGCTATATATATAGCGTTGTCTCTCGTCTTCATGTTTAAGAACTTTACGAGCCGCGGGTTCGGTCCTTACTCTCAATAAATGCACTAGCTCAGCTCGTGTCGATGCTGTGTAAACACACGTTCTCAGTTCAACGATTAAACTACGCGATTGCCGCGAGCATGCACACACACACACACACACACACACACACACACACACACACACACACACACACACACACACACACACACACACACACA